TGCCATGCTGAACCTGAGACGGAAAGAAAAGGTCAGTAACAGCGATCCTATCTTTTAAAATCTATTATCATTTACATTTTACAGCCAAGGTGAATGCCTTACTTGTCCCACCCTAGTCCTGGACCTGGTCCACCTCTACTTGATATGTTTCTCTGTCCAACAGGCTTTTCACCATCCTGAGATCATCATTAGAATGTTAGTTCTGGCCCAGTGTTTGGAATACACCATGGACTATAAGGGCCACTTCGGAACACTTCATCTAGACACATTGGTTGTTTCTTACTTTTCCCCTTGCCATTAACCACAAGTATGACCAGTCCCACACAAAGACATAAACCCTGGTCACCCACAGTCCTGAATTTTTTAAAGGACCTCAACCGATCATTCAAAATGGGATATATTCATGCTGTATCTGATTACATGTGCTTTTGACTTGAAACTAGAGCCATCTTATCTAAATAGACACACAGATACCATGGCTCTGATTAATGTTATCATTTAAAACATGTACTGGGCTTCTTTTTGTGTGTGTGTGGAGAATGTTTATTGTAAAAACATGTACTGTACTTCTTATAGGACCTAAAAACATTTGTGAAAAATCAGTGTGTAAGAATAACCTATATAATAAATGAGTTCCAACTGACCTGAAAATATGCCCAGAAACTGCTGGGTGTAAGGACAAACAGGACAAATACAGTGATTCTGAATGCTTAAGTTAAATTTGGAGGAAAAAAGCATGTCATATACAGTACCCAAGATTCCCACTAACTCTCAAAAAATTCGCTTGGATGTATCATTTTTACTGAAAGTGAAAGGACTCATTCACTCATAGATGAACATAAAGAATTGTTATTTGCCATGTATTGAAGAACTTAAGGGGAACAATGGAATATCAGAGCTAGTGATCAATGGTAAATCTGGCCTTCCAGGTCCACATGGAACAGTGTAAGAATGAGACTAGACTAGGAATAAATTTAAAGTAAGTTCTGCATCCATCATCATCATCACCACACAGCATGGAGGAAAGAGAAGACACAGGCTTTGGAGCCAGACAGAACCAACAGGAAAGGTTCAGTTCCACTCTTTCTTAGCTGTCTGATGTTGGCCCCTTTCTGTGCATGTTTGCTCGACTGTGAAATGAGCCTACTTTACAGGGTCCCCACAAGAATGACAGGGGATAAGATATGTGGAGCCCTGAGCACAGGCCTGGCTCATGGGGAGCCCTGATTACATTGTCACTGCTGTTATCACCACCTCCAGCCCCATAGGCTTTAGGTGTTTGAAGCTTCTCTGACCCTGAAACAGATCAATGGTGAAGGTTTTCAAGGAGGGTAAATGGTAAAATTGGTAATTATTTGTATGTGTGGTGTGAGTACAGGAGAGGGACCAGGTGAGATACAGGTGTCCTGTTGAAGGCAGACCCATCCTGCTTGTCTATGTTCTCAGTGCCAGGTACCTAACTGTGAACACTTTCTTATAATAGTTCAGGCAGAAAACTCTTGAGTGATATCCCTCTAAAAAGAGGCTTTTTTTTTTCTTGCCAAAAAAGAGCAGCTGATCACAGTCATGGTTATTATGTACAGTTTCGTTCTTGACATTTTAAAAGATCCAGAAAAGAGCTTCAAAAGTTCATCCAAAAGTGGACAGAAAGTAGGTGGTAAAAAGAAGAAAGAGTTGGAGTCATTCGCTCCAGACAAAAGAGGGCTTGGGAGATTTCAGATGTGTTAGTTGTGTTAGGACGCTGATGCTATGCTGCTACTTTTCACGTCCATCGACTAGAAGGACTTCCATCACTGCTTCTTCTTGGATGGACAGTTTCCCTTCCTGGAGAAAAGAGGTTGGCCAGATGACTCTTTGAGATCACTTCTCATTCTAAGCCACTGCACAAATACGGAAGTGCAAATGGATACCCAGCCCATCAACGTGGGGTGGTTTTTGGTTGCATCCTGTTCAAAATGAGGTCAAGGTAGCTTGTCATGATGAAAAGAGTGGGAGGAACGAGTCAGTCAGAGTGGGTTTGAATCTGCTCCTGAAACCCCCTGTTGGGCAAGTTATGGTAGTAAAAGAACTCAACTCTCTACTCACCTGTGGCATGGAGATCATGTCTGTCTCCTAGGGTTCCTGAAAGGATTAACTAAACTCATGTTGGTAGAACACCTAATATTTTGACTGGCATACTGAAGGTCTATGATGAATTGGAGCTGTTATTCTAGTTGGCTAAAGAAAAAAAATGGGTTGAATAGTTACCTTTGAATCATAAAGAGAGCTATGACATTCTGGTTGTAATTATACCATACTAGGAAGATTGCAAATTCAAGTCACCAGACTGACACCAGCCTGGCGGACTGAATCCGCTCAGCAAATCAGAGCTTGTCTATGCAAAGGATGTTTGAGGGGGCAACTTATGAACTCCCTTAGTGCTAAGCAGCAGAGGAAACTGAAGGCGAGGTCTAAGACATCTTGATATGAATCTGGTTTCTCTCACTGTCATCGTAAGAATCAAATGAATTATTTTAAAAAGGTTCCAAATACATTTCCAAGTATAAGGAATACATCACATCCCACTGACTTGTAATTCACACCTAGTATAGTGAAACCATCAGTCAAAAAACTGGTTTGCAAACCAAACTGATTGTCAGAAAATGTAATTATGATTTTTTCCTTCACAAATGACATGGATCTAAAAACGAGAGTCATACAGGAATTAAACAGCTCTCACATAGCAATGAAATACAGCGGTCAGAGCCCTATACTGAAATAAAAGAAACTACTACTATCAGACATTCCCATAAAATGTAATTTTTTGGTGCTACATCAATGCGGTATCACATATTTAGCATTTACAGAAAAATGCCGGGATCCAAGACAGAACGGCTCTGGTTTTGTTCTTTACCAGTGTTGGGATTTGTGGCAGGAAGCCTGGAGGCTGTGGAGCATTGGAAAAGACAGAGGAAATACAAGGTACAAACATGCACGTAAAGTGAGGCCCACTGAGAGCTCGGCCAAAAACAGGGAGTGTTTCCTGAAGCCCCTCTGTGTCACTCAGAGAATCAGACTTGGCTTGGAAAGCACATCCTGTTTCCATCAAAGGGGGATGCGGGTTACAGCTGATAGAACCAAATGTTACAGACAAGGGAGCAGAACAATGCACTTTGAACTGATAGAGTCACATGAAAGAGCAGCTTATTTTTGTTGGGAGTGACCAAGCACAGGCATGACGTGTAAAATGATCCCACATGCATCAGGAAGCCAGGCGAGGCCCAGTGCAGATGCCTGTCGGTATTAGATCTATGAAGGCCCCTGCGCCATTACATCACCCCTGAGCAGGAGTCTCACATGGTAATGAAGCAGCCCTTATATAAGCACAGGACCAGTTTTACATTGGGGGGCCAAGTTAAAATTCATTATCTCAAATACATAAATTTTAAGTGACAATAAACCACTGAGATTATGAGGCGGCCTGTGGAAGCTAAACCCGGTATCTCAGTAGGTTCATCTTTATTCACCACACCTTTTTAGAAGTCGGGGTACAAACAGTCCTTTGAAATATACTGTATTTATCCTTACTTTACTCAAAGTCATCATTTCATTAGGTTTCCTTAAAACCACAGGTGTTACAAATCTGACTGCATAGTACTTATGAGCAGGTTCATTTATTGTTATTTTGTGTGTATGTGTAATAATGAGACAACAGAAAAAACTGAAATGGCAACAAAGATAAGAATCAAGAACATCAAGGAAAGGAAACAAAACAGGAAACTCAAGGAGAAGAAAAATGTCTATGATGCTGAATATTAAGTTCAAAAGTTCTTGTTACCAAGGGAACATTAAAATCAAGGTCTTACCTCTATATGCCTCTTTCTGAGACCTCCTTGAACAAACTGGTCTAAATCATAGATTCTTTCAGTGTGTGAACAACTTCTCAGGAATAGGGCAAACCCTTTCAGCAGTTTATTCAGTATTTTAGACCACTTGGGTAAATGCCAACAAAATTCTGTTCAGAGGTTTAAGAGACTACTGGCTGGAAGGAATAGAGGTATTTTCAGAAATGCTTATCTCAGTACCAAGGAGTAACTCGTGTGGAGTGTCTAACTAATCCAGTTCTGTGAGGTAGCGTGATATTTGATGTTAACAAAGAACAACTGAACCACAAGACCTAAATTCTAAACTTAAAAGGCAATGTGTTCATTTATAATTCAGGGGTAAAAAATCTCCTTAGCGGAATTGATAGTTATAATATGTTTGCTTGGAGGGACTTTAAGGAAGCTAGAGTCCTGGAGACTCCAACAGAGTTATGGTGGCAAGGAAAGGCTGCTAAATATTTTAAGGTCCTTTCACCTGTTCCCACTCATATTAATGCCCTTCTAGATTTATCTTCTATTCTACTGGATTTTTCCTTCTTCTTCTTCCTTTTTTTTTTAAATGAAAAATAGACTTAAGTGCTTCAGTTCATTTTGGAAAAGTGCCTTGTGAAGGACTTCAGAGATATTTTTCTTTCTTTTTAAAAATGACCTTCAAATAAAAATAATAGACTTCTCAGACAACAAAGCCCAAAGCAAGGAACATCAGATTCTGCTAATATGGTCATGAAAAGACCAAAGAGACCTTCCGAAGTGGGGTGGCCAAGTGCTAAGAAAACTTAAAGCATTCGAACACAAGGCAAATAAAGTATTCGGGAAAGCAGCAATCAAAGCAGCCCAAGATTAGAGGGTGCAACAGAATCCTCGTCTAGTAAACATCCAGTTTAACTAGCACTGGTTGTTTTAAATAAAGTACTTCCTGGGAGGAACCAAGTGGCAAGGCAGACTGCTTTTCTTGACCTCAGGAAACAACGCTGCTCTGGAGTTTTTCTTTTTTTCTTTTCTTTTCTTAGACACAGCACAGAACCCAACACATTTCAAGGCCACATGACGGGGTTTTCGTTGATTTATGAAGCAGAGACGGGGTTTGGAAAGGAAATTGTACTCAAACTGAACTGCACTGCACTAATCTTGGCTTACCTGCCATATGCAAAACGCCTGTCTTTGTGATGATCACCAAAAGTATCCCAAAGCCTGAGAGAAACACTCACTTCATCAACAACGTCCCGGGAACGCTCCAAGACCTGCAGGAGAGAGAGAGAGCATCCCGGCTCAGTGTGCATCTGAGGCTCCCCAGGAGAAGGATGCACAGGTCAGCACACCTCATGCCAGAGACACTCACTTGCATTTAGTTTCCTCATTCCAACTAACGGGACTTAGCGAAGTCCTAACTGGCTTCCTGGAATCACGTGACTCAAACCCTCAGGCAAGATATTATAGCCATGCTCCAAGTTTTGCCTTTGTTTCTCTTGCGGCACTGAAAAGGTTAGTTCTGTCTTGAAGGTACAAGTTAACCCCTTCCCAAACTTTTTGAAAATCACACTGGTTATAGGTGTGATGTGCCCTTAGGATTCTAAAGAAACTCCTTACATCTTACCTCCTGGCAAACCCGGTACTGGTCAATCGCCCACACAGTTGGTACGTGGGTGGCCAGCAGCTGATACTGCGTCAGTGTTGTATTACATGCTCTGGCGCAGATCAAGCGCGTCTTCCCCACAGCGTTGTCTCCCACAACCACACACTTGATGGTTTCAACGTTTGGTCTTTCGTAGTCCATGTCAGTGTCCATTTATAAAACTCTATAAGAAGAGAGTGAATGCCACGTTAAAGACATCAGGGCTTTCCAGAGCAGCCAAAGATGGGAGAGGTTCAGGGAGTTTCCCCTTGGTCCCGGTACTTCTGTGGAGGTGCCCAAGCATAAGCCAGAAGTTTGGAAGTTCTTACTGAGCCTAAGTGAAACTCAACTTTTCTTTTTATATCTCACACAAGTACAAAAACACTGCATTGTTATTTTGACCCCAAACGGTTTATTCCGGTTAACATGTTATTTTCTCCTTGGTTTTCTTTAAACACAACCTGCCTACTGGAGATCCATCCAGGCGAGTTGGGACTGCTGGCTCACGTTAACAGCTCACTAACTATTCACGCTGACCTGCTAAGGAGACACTGGTCACCTGCAGGTCTAAGCATAAGCAGCCTCTGCAGTACTGGTGTCTGTCACAATCGTCCATTGATCCAAGGGCTCTCATTAAAGAGCAGTTTCCTATAGGTTCTAAACCATCATGGTGATCATGGGAAAATCAAAAGTGCAAGCAGAAAGGACTCCTTGACTTTGAAGAAGAGTGAACTATAAGTCTTAATTATGATACATTATTAAAATTATTTTATATTTATATTCATTCATTTTTATTGATCAAATTCCTTTAAAAAGGAATCCTTAAGAGTAGCACTAGATGGCAATTTTTTTTTTTTGGATTCTCTTCCTCTCTTTGTTTTCATAGAAAGAAATCTGGAGCATATGGTAGAGAATGGTTTTACCAGGATGAGGAGCTACTTTGGAATCTTCCTGAAACCACCAAAAAAAGGTTTGAAGAGGGCTGCTGAGTAGGGCTGAAGAGGAAGAGGGGGAGCTGCTGGCAGCTCTGTGTCCCCATCCAGGGCAGGAACCGCCACAAACTACAGGGCAGGCTGCTTCCCAGTAGCAGCGGGACGGGCGGCCAACCATGCAAGATTTTAAGATTTTAATGTATTGTGATTGTGCTTTTGAGGAAGTCTATTGTTAATCTGGTTAGATGGTCATTTTTTTTCCCCAAAAGTGCCCATCATGGTCTTAGCAGTCATGGTAAAAACAAATAAACAAAAAAACCCCAGAAAACAACTGCTCAGAGTAGCGCCTAATACATAACTGGGACTCAGTACATGTTTGCTTAATTCAATTGATTTGAGAAAAACGATAATTTGGCTCATATGAGACTGAGGGTATAGAAGGAGAAAGATAAGGAAGAATGTCAAGAAGAATGTGTCTTCACGGTTAGGACCATCTGAACATGGGTAACACCATCACAGGAGGTGTTAAACCCGAGGCTGGAGAACTATTTGGCAGGAATGGAGAGAAATGATTCAGGGAACAGATGTGCGGTGAGGTTAGGATCTGATCCTACACCGTGGAGAGGCTTAAAATAGATATCTGTCCCACCACCTGGCAAATGCTGACTTTGAAGGTCTTGGGTGGGAAAGAGAGTCTTGAAAAATCTCCAATTCTGATGATTAGCCAGGTGTGGTGACTTCTAAAATTAACCTGTTTAAAATTCAGCCTTACAATTCTATGGTTTTAGTAGTTCTCTATTTAATAGTATAATGTGGCAAAAGCATGACTTTGGTATATAGATCCGTAGTTCTTAAATACTGGCCCGAGAACATCTGGCAACGTCTAGAGACATTTTTGGTTGTCACAGTGGGGTACTGGCTTCAGGTAGACAGAGGCCAGAGATGCTGCTAAACATACCACAATGAACAGAGAAGCCCCCATAACAAAGAATTCCATAACAAAGAATTATCTGGCCCGAAATATCATAGTGTGAGGTTGGGAAAACCCTGCCTTGGATGGATGAGAGTTTGAATCCTGGTCTCTCCACTTTCTAGTCATTATTTGACTTTGAGCAAGTTATTTGTATTTTCTAAGCCTCAGCTTCTGCATCTGTTAAGCAGAAATTATAGGACCCATCTCTGAATGTTGTGAGGACTTAGTGAGCTGATGTTTGCAGTCCCTGGTGCAGTACCTGACACACAGATAGTTTCAAAAATTCTAATCATGATGCTGAAATGCTTACCTCTAGATGACAAAAAAATTGAATCAGGTGGAAGATCAGAGTTAGATGTAAAATCATAAACTTAATAAACATAAGAGCTAGAAAAGGATAAATTTTAGCAGAACTATTAAAGGGTAATTCATTGAAAATCAAAGAACATAAATGCAAGATGGAGCACAGCTGACCTGATGCCAAGAAGGCAGAAAGTTCTGGGTGGGGAGGAGAGGAGATCGTAGTTCACTGAAGGATAGTAGAGTTGGAAAAGTAGGTTTAAAATATTTTTATGGGGCATTTCTAGATTCTAGAATAAAAATGGTAACACTTCATAACAGTCTTGTACAAGTTTCTGGTGCTATTACCATGGGGCAGCTTGTGTCAGAAAAAAAAACCAACAAAACAGGTTCCTTTTGGAGTCTCACAACTCTGGAATCTGAGGTGTATTATTTGGAATGCCCTAAGTGGTGAAAACTTTACTCTTTTGCGAGTGAATTTTAACTAATTAACTTTTTGGTAGATAAATGTCACAGAAAGCCAATCCCTGAAATTTGGGCAATGTTTGGATTTAGTAAAAATTCAGACACGATACAAAAACTATAGAACTGGTTTTCTTGTTGGCTTGCAAACTCTCTCTGATGGCAGCCCCCAAGGAGGAGTGCCCCAAATAATGTGAATCATGGCAGCACTGGCGGAAGAGCTGTGTAGCTTTTATAGCAGATGACTCTGAGGGGGACAAAAGCCCTCCTAGTTTTAATATTAAGGCCATGATTACAAAAAATATCACTACTTTACTAATTTATAGATACATCTCACACACAGTCCTAAAAAGAATTTGTGTGAAAGGTAAGAATAACATCTGTTGGTCCTCTAATCTCTAGTAGTCTGCTCAAAACTGAAGTGACTGCCAAAGTGCTGAGCCCTGTGTACAGGGGACAGCAATGCAAGGGAAGTGGAAGGCAGGCAGAATTAAATCCTCAGAGCCTGGATCACTCACTCAACAGGGGGAACTTTCAGGAAGAATTTGCTGAATTTCCAAATACTGAAAACCTTTCCTTTTGGGTAGAAATTTATTTTGTAGTAATCTAAAAAGCACTTTAAGAGTATGAAGTCACAGCCAAGGATGTAAACTCATGCTTTTCTTGTACTAGAAACCAATTATTCATCTGTTACACATAAACAAATTAACATTATATTAGGGTATAATCATAAAAGTATGCAATTTTATCCTTCTTTGCTTATTATGGGCTCAAATTTATTCATATCTAGCACTCTTATGGTTGAATGAGCTCTTAGGACCATCTGGATAATGACTGTCTATGTTTCTGATTTTTATTTACCTGGAAAGAGAGTAATAAATATTATTCATTTAACATTGTTAATAAATGTCACCACCATAAATCCTGCTGATCTATGCAGGTACCCTTTGGCCTTTCGATCCATATCTGGGGAGACAAGGAGGGTATAAAAGGAAAAGAAAAGCAAGGAAGAACTGATACTCTTCACCAGATATGATGGCAGCTCTGTAATCTTCTCACTCAAAACTGACTTGAACTTCGTTTCATACTTTCACTGAATCTTTTGGACATATTGCTGATAGTTAAAATGCTACCTGAAGAATCTACTTGCACAGTCTCTTGAAGTCAGAAGTGGTAAATTTACTTAGAAACAGGGTGAGTGATTAAGAAATAAAAGAGAAGAAACAACAATCAATAGCGCAGGAATATGAAAAACCTTAAAAGAATGCTATGAACAATTATATGCCAACAAATTGGACAACCTGGAAGAAACAGAAAAGCTTCTAGAAGTATACACCCCACCAAAACCAAATCAAGAAGAAATAGATCATTTGAACACATTGATCACTGGAAGTGAAATAGAATCTGTAATAAAAAAAAACTCTCTGCAAACAGAAGTCCAGGATTGGATGGCTTCACTGGGGAATTCTACCAAACGTACAATGAAGAACTTATACTGATCCTTCTCAAACTCTTCCAAAAGATTGAAGAGGAGGAAATACTCCTAAGTCATTCTATAATGTCACCATCATCCTGATACTGAAGTTGGACACAGACACCAGCAAAAAAGAAAATTTAGGCCAATATCTTCGATGAACATCGATGCAAAAAATTCTCCACAAAATATCAGCAAACTGAATCCAACAATACATAAAAAAGATTATACACTACAATCAAGTTGGATTCATCCCAGGGACACAAGGATGGTTCAGTATACACAAATCAATCAATGGGAAAAAATACCATGATGAATATAGATGCAAAAATCCTCAACAAAATATTAGCAAACCCATACCAGTCAGAATGCCCATCTTCAAAAAGTCTACAAATAATAAATGCTGGGGAGGGTGTAGAGAAAAGGGAACCCTCCTACACTGTTGGTAGGAATGTAATTTGGTGCAGCCACTCTGGAGAACAGTATGGAGTTTCCTTTAAAAACTAAAAATAAAGAGTTACATATTCCAGCAATCCCACTCCTGCACATATATCCAGAGAAAACTCAAATTTGAAAAGATACACACACCTTAATGTTCATAGCAGCACTATTTATGATAGCCAAGACACAAAAGCGATCTAAGTGTCCCATCAACAGTTGAGTGGATAAAGAGGATGTATGTATGTGTGTACACAGACACACACACACACACGGAATATTACTCAGCCATAAAAAGGAATGAAATAATGCCATTTGCAGCAACATGGATAGACCTAGAGATTGTCACACTAATTGAAGTAAATTAGACAGAAAAAGGCAAATATCATATGATATCACTTATATGTGGAATCTAAAAAGTATGATACAAATGAACTTATTTACAAAATAGAAACAGACTCACAGACATAGTTATGGTTACCAAAGGGGAAAAGTGGTGTGGGGGATAAATTGGGAATTTGAAATTAGAAGATATACACTACTATATATAAAATAAACAACAATGACCTAATGTATAGCAAGCAGAGAGAACTATATTCAGTATC